GGCATCTATGCCTTTCGCTGTGCCAATGATTTGGAGAGAGCCAACAGATCATGTTAGTAATTGTTACTTTTGTATGGTGCCTCCAATTGTAAAAGTGCTAAATAGAAGAAAAAGTTATCTGTGCACTATCCAAATATTCCATCGGCAATACGTCCAGTTCCTCATGGAGAGGGGCTACCAATTCCTAAAGCACCAGAATCCTTCGTGGTTGAGTCAAGTGAGGAAGAACCTGAAGCGTGTAGTCACGTGCAATTGTAAGAGATAGCCCTTTCCTCGAATACAAGAGAAAAGCCAAGAGAAGCAAAACCGACACAAACTGAAGACAAAACTAGTGAGAATCCTAAGTATTAAAATGATTCAACTTAGCTTATGGCTATAATTTTTCTTGGAAATCCTATGCAATATATTATGCCATTTAGGCTTTGTTATGTAGTCAATATCACTTGCTTTATATTTGTGGAAAGACATCTATCTATATAATTATTGTGCATTATGTAGTCATTACGCCTATAGTAAAAAACTTTCCGTTTACAGAAAAACTAGAGCCAATTGACAAATTTCATTGTTATATTTGAACTCAGAATGTGAAATTCATTAAGAAATGGATCCTTTTGTTTCCAAAACTGGCAAAAAATAAAAATTTGTTGAACAGTGTTTTGCACTGATTACTGTATTAGCGTCACTGGTTCCCACAAAGTGTTGTTTAGTGTAAGTTAGTGTCCGACTGTCCACCGCCAGTCCCGCCATAAGTTGCTGATTGCAGCCATTTGTAAAAATAAAATAAAATAAAAAATTCCAGTATATGTACAATAGTTTGTAGACACTATAATTTTTGCGCAAACCAATCAATATGCGCTTATTGGGATTTTTTTACAAAAAATATGTAGCAGAATTTGTATTAGTCTAAATTTATGAAGAAATTAGATTTTTTACTTTTTTTTTGTTGGAAATGTTTTATAGCAGAAGGTAAAGAAAACATTTTTTTTTTCAAAATTTCTGGTCTTTTTCTGTTTATAGTGCAAAAAAAAAATCCAGAGGTGATCAAATACCACCAAAAGAAAGCTCTATTTTTAGTTAAAAAAACATAAATTCCATTTATTTCATTTTTGTACAGCATTGCATGACCGCACAATTGTCAGGTAAAATAACGCAGTGGTTTATTGCAAAAAATATCCTGGCCAGGAAGGGGGGTAAATCGTCTGGAGGTCAAGTGGTTCTTGTTAGGGTCCAACCAGATGCCTGATCGATACACTAATTAAAAGTTCAACAGGGGCTGGTTGAATTTTGATTAGCATGTGGGCATCCCTACTGAACAGAATCCAATTTGAAGGGTCCTGTGGGAAATGTTTCCATCGAACGGCTTTCAATGGACTGCAGATGCATATCAGTGTATTCTGACAGCAGTGAGTTCCACTGTCAGAATACAATATCCCAGTAGAGGGATTCCTCCGTCCACCTCATTTGTGTGGATAGAGGAATCTGTTTTTTTCATTCAGCCTGTTGTCCAGTTTTACTATAAATCTGTCTCTTAATCTGCTGCCCTGTAACTGTTCAGCTTTATATTGCTGTGCGAAAGATTTGATCAATGCCCCCCCCCCCCCCCCCCCTTTTTTCGCTTGCTGCCTGCAATTGCTGTTCAAAAAAGTGAATGAAACAGCTGAAACCTCCACTTTTTAAAAAAAAAAAAATTGATGATCAGATCTAATTTGTTTGAAATAAGTTAAAGTGTAACTCCAGCATTCATTAGTTAATAGTGAATGATTGAAATCATTCAGATGAGTTGTCAATGGTGTCCAGAATTTGCTTACAGAGACATCCGACATAACTGCCATTTTCTCACTTACAAAATACCAAGCCATTATATTTTTGACTTGAGCGTTTGTTGGTATCTTAGACCACCATGCTCTAGTCAAAGTTTTTTTGGAGGCCATAAAGATAAACGTAAGTAGTTTTATTTGGTAATCGTACATTTGAGGAGAGTCTGGTGGGGAATTTCTACAGATTCTTCTACTCAGAACCTTATAGACTAATTGATAAACCTTCATACAAAATATTTTAATTCCAAGGCAATCCCACCAGAGTTTTAGAGTACCTAGTTCCATAACCTCCAATGCAGTGGTCTCCAAACCGCGGCCCTTTGCTTGTCATGGGGTTCTGTTCCTCCCACTGATATGAGGTACTATTCCTTTCACTGACACCAACAGTGAGGCAGTGTTCCTTCCACTGACACCAACAATGGAGCATTATTCCTTTCACTGACGCCAATGACGGGGCACTATTCCTTCTACTGTCACCAATGATGGAGGATAATTCCTCCTACTGACAACAACAATGAGACTTCATTCCTTCCACTGACACCAGCAGTGGGGCAGTATTACTCCCACTGATACCAACAATGGAGCATTATTCCTTCCACTGACAACAATGGTGGAGTATTATTCCTTCCACTGACACTAACAGTAGGGCTCTCTTCCTTCCCCTATCACCAACCATGGGGCATAATTCTTCCCACTGATATACTGTTAATGGTTTAACACTATTCCTTTCACTGACAACAACAATGGGGTATAAATTCTCCCACTGATACCAACAATAGGGTACTATTGCTCCCACTAATACCAATGATGGGGTACTATTGTACCCACTGATACCAATGATGGAGCACAATTCCTCCCACTATTACTAATGATGGTGTACTATTTGTTCTACAGACCACAAGCACTATGTAATATTTTCACATCCACTGACCACCAAAGTCTGAGGCATTTGTCTACCCCCACTAGAAATTTCATCTCCCATTGGCGATAGTCAGCCCCCCCCCCCCTAAACTCTGAACCATAAACAAATCCTTTTGTTTAAAAAGTTTGGAGACCCCTGCATTGATTAGTAGTTCCGGGGCGAAACTTCACCCGTCTCTCTGGAACAACCATTCTCATCTAGGACTCAGTTGAACTTAGGGTTCCTTCAGAAGTTGCTAGGAGTTCCTTGTGCTGTAGCTGGTTGACCTTCTATTTGATGGTTACTGCAGAGGTCCAGAACCAGCAACAGCAAAGTCAGCAGAATGACACCAACACTTAAGGGTTCCATTATTTCTAGATCAGACTCCAGAATAAGACACCACCTGAAAATTAATCTGTTTTAGCTGTCTGTAAGGGTTCCATTATTTCTAGTTGGGAGCATAAATCTTTTTCATTTTTTAATATATTCAGTAGGCTCTAATGGCTGCCAGATTGTGTTTCTGAAACCTGCCAAGCAGGAGCATCACTCCAAACTGTCCCTCATTTGTGATCATGGTATGAAACCAAATCTCCTGTCTTTCTTTCCTCCTTAGTTGTCATTTTTTTTTTGGTTTAATGAATAGACCTCTTCAAAAAATGTACTATTTAATAAATAAAAGTGTATTCTGACACTTAATTTAATCTCTAAATTGTTGCAATTGTGACTTTGAGAAGCCAATAAAACCATAAAGTAACCTCCTAGTGTAGTGTAGGTTGATAGGTAAATTTAGTTGGCTCCTCTGTAGTTAGAGGAGCAAAAGTTGATTACTTCGGGCTGATAAGTGTCTCACAGGTTGCTGCTCTAATTGCTTTTCTCTGTAGTCTTGATGATTTTAGAATTATAGTGGGAGGAAAAACAGAGTGGGCAGCCTGAATATTTATGGAACTCTAGCCAATCCCTAGGAAGGTGGGTCCACTAGGTGGTTAGAGAGCCCTTAAATAGTCGGAGACTTGAAGCAACAGTTGCAGAGTTCCTGGGTTCAGTCCTGCTGGAGGAGACCCCTGTGCAGAGGCCCTGACCCTGGGACAGAACACGGGAATGGAGCCGTCAGGAAATCACTGAGATCCTGACTAGGCTTAGCTGGAGGCCTATTTGCAATCTTAAAAGTCCTGGAATCTATTTGGATCAGAAGAAAGCTCACTTGTCAGAGCCAGGAGGAAGTTGGGGAAAGAGTGTGTTCAACTGTCCTGTGGTGGTGTGAGCCTGAATAAATGGTCCATGTTCTGGGGAGTTAGTGACTGTCTAAGCAGAAAGAACTAGCGCTAAAGGCCAGATGCTTGGAAGACACTTGTCCTCGGCTTCTAGTGCCACACTGAATAAAGTGATGACTAATTCCAAAAAGACCAGCGCTGAGGAGACTTTGGCTTATAATCAATGATGATCCCTCAATGTACTTCATAAGGGGTATAAATTAATTCCATTAATAAATCATTAAAAGCAAAATAATCATCCAGAAACAGCGGTGGACCCATTGCCTGGCTTTGATGGAATATCCATTCACCTATGCCCCCGTTTCGGGATGTATGGTAAAAAAGGTGATCACAATAATGCTGCTGTCCTGCCCGGGGACCATGGTGCTCCACAGGTCACGGGAAATTGGCCGCCGTGCCAGGCTAGATCGCAAGCTTTGCTGGTTGCCATGACAATGCATTTTCGCATGCATGTACTTTATCAAGTCCTTGAAGACTGAGGATTCATAGTCACTGTCAGCATCAGAGATTCTATGGGACATTTTGGTACAGTTCAGCAAGATAGTTCAGATGTCCTGAGTATTCAGTTCTGGGGTATCCCATGCTCCCTTGCCCTATTCAAGTTCACTGTTCCCAATAAAACCCCCAAAAAGTAAATTCCTGGACTGTTCCTTGGAGCCAGTAGAAGAATGAAAAAATGCTGTGTGCCTGTCTATGTGTGCTCTAAGTGGGGAAATAGGAGTTCACTGGCAGCTCCTTAGGTGGTACGTGACATAAACAATAAATGTGTGTAATAATTCATCATGATTGTCATAATTGGACGCACAACAGGGGTGTGTGTCCTCCATCTAAATACTGTGTTAAAAGCTGTCTCTCTCTTTTGAAAAAGATTGGTGGTATAATTTAACCTCCCTGGTGGTATTCCCAAGTGTAGCTCGGGGTAAATTTTCAGTACAAGCTACACTCGGGAATACCATGCGGCGCTGCTCCGCGATCCCTCGATCACTTACCTTGTCCTGCGCTCCCACGATGTCCCTCCTGCAGTGTCCCCGGCAATGTCCTCCGGCCAATGCCGGCATCTGTCTTCTGGGTTCCGTCCCCTGCGAGCATCGGGACGTACAGGGGACGGAACTGGCGGGAAATTTGAAAATGACAAAAAGTGACATTCACTAAAATCACATAGTAAAACATTACTGTATCAAACCATTTCACATACATTTTGTCCCGAGTGCTTTGTCCTGTGCCCTGCCTGCATTTTTACTGTTCTTTCTGCCTGGAAACTGAGAAATGTCCATGGCGTCCAAAAAGCGTCCCTTTAGGTCAAAAGCGGTTTTAGACCAGCTAGAGAACAGCGATAGTAAATTAGAACCTAAAAAAAAAACAATATTGGTGAAGCGCTTCACATGAAAAACTAAATAAGTAGGTGCAATGATATAAAAATACATATAAAGTGACCACACTGTATTGAAAGGTATTGATAACTAATGCTAAATAATCCCCCCAAAAAAATATATAAGTGCCAAGTGCTGGGAGTGCAAAACAGGTCATGTGTTTGCTGACTAGATCGTGCCAAAATACAATATATGCACAGTATACATAATACACAATAACATTGCACATGCATATATTGCATTTTGGCACGGTCTAGTTAGCAAACGCATGACCTGTTTTGCACTTTATTGTGGATTTTACTTTTAACCTATATTCATACCCATACTGAGCACTGTCCACTTTCAGTTAGAGTGTGTAATGTTATTGTGTATTATGTTTACTGTGCATATATTTTATTTTGGCACGATCTAGTCAGCAAACGCATGACCTGTTTTGCACTCCCAGCACTTGGCACTTATATATTTTTTTGGGGGGATTATTTAGCATTAGTTATCAATACTTTTCAATACAGTGTGATCACTTTATATGTTTTTTTATATCATTGCACCTACTTATTTAGTTTTTCATGTGAAGCGCTTCACCAATATTGTTTTTTTTATGTCATACATCCTGTGGTATTGGGAATAGGTGGTAGCAGCTTGCATATATTTTGGGTTGTGTTTGTTCATACCAGTGGAGCGCAGGGAGATTATATATTTTTATATTTTTAGTAAATTAGAACCACTTGCAGAATTGAGTGATAATGATTCGTGGGGAAATTCGTCATCAGACACTGAAAACGATTCTGCAACTGAGCTCAGTGATATGCGAACTTGGCGCTATATTTCAAATTTCAGTGTTTTTGGTTTGATTATATTATTGAATTCAATTTATTGTTATTATATTATTATTTTTTATGATTATTTATTAAATTATAATTTATGATTTAGTGTTTCAAGTTTTATCCTACCCAGGATGTTTACTAGACTCTTTTTCGGACAGATTTCAGTGAGTTATTCCTAAGAATTACAGGCCTGCAATATAAAACGCCAAATTTCCATGCAAAATAATGGTACCGCTTTCAGCACCAAAAATGTGAAATACTGTATTTTTCGCTCCATAAGACGCACCTGACCATAAGACACACCTAGGTTTTAGAGGCAGAAAACAGGAAAAAAAAATTCTGAACTAATGGACTGCAGACATAGTACAGGAGATGACCAGAGACTGCAGACATAGTACAGGAGATGACCAGAGACTGCAGACATAGTACAGGAGATGACCAGAGACTGCAGACATAGTACAGGAGATGACCAGAGACTGCAGACATAGTACAGGAGATGACCAGAGACTGCAGACATAGTACAGGAGATGACCAGAGACTGCGGACACAGTACAGGGGATGACCAGAGATTGCGGACACAGTACAGGGGATGACCAGAGACTGCAGACACAGTACAGGGGATGACCAGAGACTGCAGACACAGTACAGGAGATGACCAGAGACTGCAGACACAGTACAGGAGATGACCAGAGACTGCAGACACAGTACAGGGGATGACCAGAGACTGCGGACACAGTACAGGAGATGACCAGAGACTGCGGACACAGTACAGGAGATGACCAGAGACTGCAGACACAGTACAGGGATGACCAGAGACTGCGGACACAGTGCAGGGATGACCAATGACTGTGGACAGCACAGGGATGACCAGAGACTGCGGACAGCACAGGGATGACCAGAGACTGCGGACAGCACAGGGATGACCAGAGACTGCGGACAGTACAGGGATGACCAGAGACTGTGGATAGTACAGGAGATGACTGCTGACCTTTGGGGAGGGGGGGAGCGGGTACCTGAATTTGACAGATACCCGCTCCCACTTCCGCGGAGGTGTTCTTTCATCTTACCTGTTCCTCTATCCAGCCGCGCGCTGTCTTCCCGGCTTCTGTAATGGCGCTCGGCATGACAGCCGGGTGCCCAGTGCGCATGAGCGAGAAGCACTTGCGCTTTGTGATTGGTCTGGCTGCTTCTGGGATCTGTCATGTGTCCCAGGTGCCGCCTTACCATTCACAAAAAGCACCGCTTCTTGCGCATGTGCACTTGGCACCCGGCTGTCATGCCCACACTACAGAAGCCGGGAAGACCGCACCGCTGGATAGAGGACCAGGTAAGATGAAAGAACAACTCCACGGAAGTAAGAGCGGGTATCTGTCAAATTCAGGTACCCGCTCCCCACCTCCCCAAAGGTCAGCAGTCATCTCTATAAGGTCCCGCTGCAGAGCTGAGCGGCCGGCCCGGTATTCTGACATGGTGGCGGTGGAAATACCGGACCGGCCGCTCCATATTCGCTCCATAAGACGCACTGACATTTTCCCCCCTTTTTTTGGGGGAAAAAAGTGCGTCTTATGGAGCGAAAAATACGGTAATCATACCGCCAGGGAGGTTAAAAAGCGCATTGCTTTGCCCTGTCATACACCTGTGCACTGAGTTTGGCACACCCAGGTTTCCCTTCCTTTACATCTCCATGCCCCAAACTCTGCTCTCCAGCATCCTCAGGAAGCCCTCACAGACCCAAACACCGTCATCCCTTTACACCCGTGTGCTCCATGCAGTTGCTGTTACCGCTAGCTTTACCCATGGACAGTAGTGATGCAGGTCACAAAAAGTGCTCTTAAACTACAGAAAACATCAAAGGATTTTGTACCCTTTGAAATATGATAAGCTTTCTCCTTTATGCTACAGTATATCATGAATCACATCCTCACACATTTAGCACCTGCCCAAAGTGTATCGATTAGACCTCTAAAAACACAGCTGGACTCCAGCCATCATCTAATTCTGTGGAGTAAAAATATGCAGAAGTATGCCATAGAAAGATTTCTTTTTTTTTTTTTTATTTTTTGGCAATTGCACTGTGAATGAACAATTTATTATGGCTGTACCTTTCATTAAGAGCTTGTGCGATAAGCTTATTACGCTTTTTGCCGAAGGCATATTTTCTGTCTCACGCTTTTAAATTGGCTCAATTAATTTTGATACTGTTACTATAAATTTTAAGTGTCCTGGCTGGTGCTCATAATTGCGACATTTCTCTTTTTTGTGTGCCTTCTGGTAGATCGGCTCCTCTTACAGGCGTATGAGTAACACCACGGAGTTTTTTTTTAAATGCAGTATATTAGAAGTGAGAATGGGACTGTAGTCGTAATAGCTAATGTGTCTTCTATGCAGTAGATAGCGAGAAAAAAAAACTTGCCTGATGGGCCCCCTGACTGTTTAAAGTAAACCTGTAACAAATAGGGGCAACACTGTGAAACAAACCTGCCTAAAAAAAAGGAAATATTTATAGGTAACCGAATTTATAGACAAATCTTAACATTTTCTATTGCAGTTGAGCAGTGCCCCACCTCTTACTATAACCAAAGCCACCCTGCTGGTCACTGAGGTTATCAATCACATTAACCCCTTCACACCTAAGAGTAAAACAAATCTAAATGCCTAAGCACAATTTTGCAAAGTTGACATGTGTTAGTAAACCGTACATCACAACTACTTTGTACATCCAGGTGAATTATACCTTGTATTTTTCAGGACAAATTGGGCTTTCATTTGTTCGTAAATGGTAACGGATATCTCCTGATATTTTTTATTATCAAAGGAAAACTGGCCCAAAATAGTAAAAAAAAAATTTTTTCTTAAATTTATCTGTGTGTTTCTTGTTATTACCATAACCTACCTCCAAAGAACAACACAAAATACATTTTCCAGCTTTTGACGATCACAGCGATACCATATATGTGTATGTTATTTGTTGTTTGTACCTGTAGAACAACCCAGCAACAAACTTTATAAATGCAGAAGTTTGAACAGATGTAGAGAAGAAAAGACTGCAGATAGACAGGTACAGGGGCGGACTGACCATTTGAAAACTCGGGCACTGCCCGAGGGCCCCGGGGTCAGTAGGGGGCCCCCCATGAGATGCCCCTGGTACCTTTTTCATAGGCTTTTTTGAGTTTGGGCAAGGACACAGGGGCTCCATGATCCCCTATCACCCGGTTGCCCCATGAATTGTCAGTCCGCCCCTGGGCAGGTACAATGCATGTAGGAGGCTTTATTAAATCTCTGTGTATCACCTGAGGCCAGTCATGTCACTGGGTATATGTGAGGGTTTTAGGCCACTTTAAAGTGTTACTAAACCCACAACAGTAAAATCAGTCTGTATATGCATTAAAGCATGTTTGTTATACTCACTGTGGAACCTAAGGGGTTAATCCTCTGCATTGTGTAAAAAGGCCGTTTGATCCTGTCTTCTCTGCCCCTTCTCTTGTTCAAATGTCCAGCTGATAAGACAGAGTGAACCCCCTCATGCTCAGTTTGTTGTGTATTGCTAGAGAGGTCAGGGGTTTTGCATCCTCCTAGAATGGAAAGAAAACTCCTCCTACAAGCTTTAACTGATGCTCTGCTGAAGTCACAAGACTGCTCTAACTGCTGATGAGAAAAGGCATTTAGCAGTTTATATTTACTAAAATAATTACATTTCCATGTTCTGTGTACTGTGGGAGGCCAGATATAGTGAATGCAGGGTCCGGGGTTTAGTAACACTTTAACCACTTTCCTACTTGGCACTTATACCCCCTTCGTGCCCAGATCAATTTTCAGCTTTTAGTGCTGTCGCACTTTGAATGGCAATTGCGCGGTCATGCAACATTGTACTCATATGAAAATGTTATCATTTTTTTAGACAGATAAAGATTTATTTTGGTGGTATTTAATCACCTCTGGGTTTTTTATTTTTTGCTAAAGAAACCAAAAACAACTGAAAATTTTGAAAACTTTTTTTCTTAGTTTCTGTTATAAAATTTTGTAAAGAAGTGATTTTTCTCCTTTATTGATGTGCGCTAATGAGGCTACAGTGATGGGCACTGATAGGCTGCACTGATGGGCACTGAAAGGCGGCACTGATGAGGAGGCACTGGTAGGTGGCACTGGTGGGCATTGACAGGCATCACTGATGGGCACTGAAAGGCAGCACTCATATATGGCACTGACAGGCAGCACTGACTGGCACTGATAGGTGGCACTGACTGGCACTGTTAGGCGGCACTCATGGGCGGCACTGATGGAAACTGATAGGCAGCACTGATGCGCACTGATAGGATGCACTAACTGGCACTGATTGGCAGCACTGATAGGTGGCACTGACTGGAACTGACTGGCACTGATAGGTGGCACTGAAAGGCAGCTCAGATGGGCACTGATATGTGGCATTGATGTGGACTGGTAGGCACTGATATGTGGCACTGATGGGCACAGGCAGGTGGCATTGATGGACACTGACAGGTGGTACTGATGGGGCTACACTGATAATCAGGGCACACTGATCATCAGTGCCCCAATGATCAGTGCACATGTCCCCTCTGAGGAATGCCGATAACCCGCATTTCCTTATTTACATGTGATCAGCTCTGATTGGACAGAGCTGATCACATGACAGAGCTGACATCTTCGGCTCTTTTCGTTAATCGGTGATTCGCTGTGTCCGAGGGACACAGCGCACCACCAATCGCTGTGCTGCACGCCCCCGGGGGCGCACACATGCAGTTAGAGTAAAGGACGCCATATGACATCCTCCCAGAACGAGATAACCGCCTTGCGCCCGTCATTTCCTTATATGGCGGGTGGGAGGCGGTTAAAGTAGTATTAAAACCAAATCCAAAAATTTTAATATATTGCAGCTTACCAATCATTAGATGTGGCAGCTGCATTCTTTCTTTTTAGACTTTTTTCTCTCTGTTTTCACCTGGTGATCTGGCCAGTAGCACACCTCCTGTATTAGAGTGCCTCCACTTTTTTTTTAAATTTTCCCTGCATGTGATTGGGTATACCTTGCAAAGTGAATCTTTATCTCATTTGCAAAGCTCGGGAGCAATTGCACTTGCAGAGTGCAACTGCATCTTGTATGGTGCACCGTCTATTTGCCTTTGCAATCCCAAATGTCTCTTTATTGGGTTGAATGTGAAACTCCTTGCAGCGCTGATGAGCATGCGGTCTCTTAGCATGCTTGCTAACCCCTTGACAGCTGACATTCTGGTGTGCTACACTGGTATCTATGGTCACGCCATCTTCCTGTTTAGGCAATCAACAGAATTTCAGAAAAACGTAATGTGCATTTTGTAAAGATCATCAATATGCCGAATAAAGAAAGCATCTCTGACCATTCACTGTAGCCTCCCTAGCGGTCTGATTATGACAGTATTTCTGTGCTCAAATCTGTACATTTTTTTCATGGTAATATATATATTTTTTATTGTAGGCCTGTAATTTTTTTTGGAATAACTCACTGAAATCTGTTCGAACAAGAGTCTAGTAAACATCCCGGGTATGTTAAAATTTGAAACACAAAATCATAAATTATAATTTAATAAATAATCATAAAAAATAATAATATAATAATAATAAATTTAATTCAATAATATAATCAAACCAAAAACACTGAAATTTGAAATATAGCGCCAAGTTTGCACATCACTGAACAAAGTCGCAAAATCGTTTTCAGTGTCTGATGACAAATTTCCCTACGAATCATTATCACTCAATTCTGCAAGTAGTTCTGATTTACTATCGCTGTTCTCTAGCTGGTCTAAAACCGCTTTTGACCAAAAGGGACGCTTTTTGGACGCCATGGACGTTTCTCAGTTTCCAGGCAGAAAGAACAGTAAAAATGCAGGCAGGGCGCAGGACAAAGCACTCAGGACAACATGTATGTGAAATGGTTTGATACAGTAATGTTTTACTATGAGATTTTAGTGTATTCAGTGAATGTCACTTTTTCACATTTTTAAATTTCCTGCCGTTCCGTCCCCCGTACGTCCTGGTGTCAAAGGGAACGGAACCCGGAAGACAGATGCTGGCATCGGCCGGAGGACATTGCCGGGGACACTGCAGGAGGGACATCGCGGGGCGCAGGACAAGGTATGTGAAGAAGAGATCCCGGAGCAGCGCTGCAAGGTATTCCCGAGTGTAGCTCGGGGTTACTGCTTGTGGTACTGAAACTTTACCCCGAGCTACACTCGGGAATACCTCCAGGGAGGTTAAATTGCACCTGTGCTCAGACTTCAGACATATGGACTGCAGAAGGTATTTACATATCCGTAAAAAGTAGGAAAAAAAAACTTTTAGGCCCCATGTACACGGGACACTTCTGAACGATGGAAACTGACTGCTGGAAAACCTAGGTTAAAAAACATCTAGCCGCGCTTGCATAAAATGTTTATGTGCATTTGCGTTTAGAGACGTTTTTTAAAGAAAAGCACAGAAGAACCTCCCAAATGCCCAGAATGCACTGAAAATTGGTAAATTATTAACTATTTCAGACTGTTTCAGAGAAATACAGAGAGTAGAAGCAGAGACAGCAGTATGTGTTGAGATTAGTTTAGGTGTGAGTTGCTCATTAACATTTCTTTTGTTTTCAAGGGTGGGATAGGTGGCTGGTGGAGTCATTAAGGCCACTTGGCAGGGGGTCTTCATGAGGAAGTTGAGTTGTGAATGGTCATTAAAATATCTTTTGTTTCTAAAGGGTGGGAGAGATCTGAGGTGTAAATTGGTCATTACAATGTGTGACAAGCTTGTTAGGAAAATCCTGTGTTCAGTGTTTTGTCCATTTGAGTACCTTGAAAATGCTTTGCATGCATTTTTCATGATGAAAAAAGGCTCCGGACAGCATCGGGAACTGGAAGAGTCAAACGCAAATGCTTATAAATGTGATAGCCGCGTTTACAATCGTTTTTCGTTTGAAACGCTGATAAGATCGACTGCTGAACGCAAGTTTTCTGTGTTCAAAAAAATGACTGTAAACTCAAATGCCTGTAAATGGCTGTATACGATGATGTGTACATGGACACAGGAAAACATTAGGGAAAGTTCAGGGGCTGCTGAAAGAAATGCTGAACAGATCCTAAACGTGAGTTTATCAGCTGCAGTGTACATGAGCCCTTAAAGTTGGAATTTAGCTGGTTTCTAGTAGCTTAGAAACACATACCTAATGTTTGCATTAGAGGATTGGCAGGCTGCAATGTGTCTGCTCTCCACAGAAAGCAAAATAGGCTGGAACTATGATTGCTGTGCTTTTGCTTCGAATTTTGAGGATGAATTTCTCCACAGTAATTATAGTTACAGAGGTGAATGAGGGTGTATTTTAAAGTTGTAAAATGTACCCCTGCAGGGCAAATTAGCATTTTAAAGCGGAATTTCACTGAAAGGGGAAGTCATGCTTTTTCCGCCTCCTTCCACTCCCACTTTTGGGCCTTTTTTTTCAGGGTGGGGGGTACCTGCTTTTCACAGGTACCTGCTCCCACTTCTGCCCAGATCACCTAGGCAACCTTCTGGGACACATCACAAGTCCCAGAAGACTGAAGGACTGTTCACAAAGCACAGCGCTGTACGCACACAAAAATGGAAGCTCCACTTATATACCTCTTCCCCCCCTCTGCTGCCCCATTTGGCACCTTTTGGGGGGGAGCAGGCACCTGGTTTTAACAGGTATCCACTCCCACTTCCGTCTCAGTTCGCTGCCCCCACCCCCCCCTGTATCCTTCTTGGCTACTTCACAAATCCCAGAGGACTGTGACCCATTCACAAAGTGCAGGTTTGTGCAGTAGGAAGCTCACTCAGTTAAGATGGCGGTACCAGCACCTGACAGCCGATTGAAGAATCAGCTCGGGGTGAGGACACCACTGGATCCCTGGACAGCTAAGTGCCCTAATATTAAAAGTAACATCTACAGTATTTGTAGCTGCTACTTTTAATTTTTTGGGGATACTGGGGCTTCTCTTTAATTAGGGTCTCCACTAGCAGCTCAAACATACCTTTCCTTTGCTCCCCTGGGGTTTTGTTCAGCTGTGGGCAATAAAGAAAAATATTGGCTATGTTTGAGCCTTTCATTCATAGTTACATAGTTAGTCTGGCTAAAAAAAGACAAAAGTCCATCCAGTTCAACCATATAAAGAAAAAGAAGTTACAATCCTACACCCACAGTTGATCCAGAGGAAGGCAAGAAAACCCAGCAAAGCATGATCCAATTTGCTCTTGCAGGGGAAAAAATTCCTTCCTGATCCCCGAGAGGCAATCAGATATTCCCTGGATCAACTTTACCTATAAATGTTAGTATCCAGTTATATTCTGTGTATCTAAGAAAGAACCCAGGCCTTTTTAAAAGCAATCCACTGAGCTGGCCAGAACCAACTCTTGAGGGAGTCTATTCCACATTTTCACAGCTCTCACTGTAAAGAAACCTTTCCGTGTTTGGAGATGAAATTTCTTTTCCTCCAGACGTAAAGAGTGCCCCCTTGTCCTTTGTGATGACCTCAGGGTGAATAACTCTACACCGAGTTCACTATATAAACCACTGATGTATTTATACATGGAGATCATATCCCCCCCTAATCTCCTCTTCTCAAGAGAGAATAAATTCAGTTCCTCTAATCTTTCCTCATAGCTGATCTCCTCCATGCCTCTTATCAGTTTAGTTGCCCTTCTCTGTACTTTCTCCAGTTCCCCAATGTTCTTTTTGTGAATTGGTGCCCAAAATTGAACTCCAGATGAGGTCATACTAATGATTTGTACCGGGGTAATATATTCATTCTCTCTCTCTCTCTCTCCTTTTAACCTCCTTGGCGGTATTCCCGAGTGTAGCTCGGGGTAACATTTCAGTACCACAAACGGTAACCCCGAGCTACACTCGGGAATACCATGCGGCGTTGCTCCGGCATGTGTTCTTCACTTACCTTACCCTGCGCTCCCATGATGTGTCCCCTGCAGCGTCCCCGGCCATCTCCTCCGGCCGATGCCGGCATCCGGCTTCTGTGTCCTGTCCCTGTGACGTCGGGACGTACGGGCGCCGCTGGCGGCGGGAAATTTAAACATTTTAAAAAATGTCTTTTTTTTTTTTTTACATTTTACATAGTAAAACATTGCTGTCTCAACCAATTTCACATACATTTTGTCCCTAATGCTTTGTCCTGCGCCCTGCCTGCATTTTTACTGTTCTTTCTGCCTGGAAACTGAGAAATATCTATGGCGTCCAAAAAGTGTCCCTTTAGGTCAAAAGCGGGTTTAGATCAGCTAGAGAACAGCGATAGTAAATCAGAACCACTTGCAGAATTGAGTGATAATGATTTGTGGGGAAATTCGTCATCAGACACTGAAAACGATTTTGCGACTTTGCTCAGCAATGTGCTAATTTGGCGCTATATTTCACATTTCAGTGTTTTTGGTTTGATTATATTATTGAATTAAATTTATTATTATTATATTATTATTTTTTATGATTATTTATTAAATTATAATTTATGATTACGTGTTTCAAATTTTATCCTACCCGGGATGTTTACTAGACTCTTGTTCGGACAGATTTCAGTGAGTTATTCCTAAAAATTACAGGCCTACAATAAAAAACTACATATTTCCATGCAAAAAAATGGTACCGCTTTCAGCACCAAAAATCGGAAAGAATCATACCGCCGAGGAGGTTAATACAAGAGAGGATTTTG